TTACAAAGAGAAATGTAATGCAATTTTTAAAGAACCGTATGAAAATTAACCAAATTACAAAAATCAATTTTATCATGCAATGCCATAGTAGATTAACTAGAAAAGGTTTATTGATCTGGAAGATAAGTTGAGAACAATATCCAGACTGAAGTTTTGTGAAAAGCAAGAAGGGAAAGTACAAGCGAAAAATTAGAAGCACAATCCAGATATCCTATTTATTTTCTATGTCATCATCTGGAGCCAACACTTTGTCATCACCAACACAATTTTTGATAACTAACTGGAAATCACTTACTTGATTCAGATTGGTCTAAATAAGTTTATATTTTCAAAGTATTTGACCTTTTAAATCTGTCATTTCTAGCAAACACACTTTTTATTTATTGGTATTGCTTATTGCTTAGATGTTTGTTTTCAAATATGTGGTGAGTGTGATTTTGTGCTGAAAGTATAATTTCTAAATTTTCCATCACAGGTATGTAATTAAAATGTTTAATTATCATGGAAATGTTTGTACTGAAAAAAAATTAACACTACAGTTGCCAGAGGAGTTCCTAGGTGGTGCAAATGGTTAAGTTCCAACCACCAACTTGAATGTCGGTGGTTCCAAAACAACTAGTGGCCTCTCTGAAGACAGGTGCTTGTCAATTGCTTGTGAAAGGTCACACCTTTAGAGAGTATTTCATTCTATCCTGCACATATGAGGTTACCATGAGCTGAATTTACTCCATGGCAACTAACATCAATTCTCAGTATTGACCATAAATGGAAATTATATAGCTCATCAAAAGGAATGTGGTCTTTCGTCTTAAAAGAGGTATAGAGAAAACACTATAGAGATAGAAGAGGCAGAGGGACATAACGAAGGAGAGGGAAGTGGGAAAGATGGAGGGAGAGAGAGAGATATTTAATATGTTACAGTATTAGAAAATAATTATGGAGAAATTAGGCATTAGCTGGTCTGTATAAAAGAATGTATTTACCAAAAAATCATATCTTAAGTATTATAAAAATTGGTAAGATATTTGTATTACAAATCATTTCATGAAATAAACTTTATTAAAGGTATCATCCTCTGACAGTCTTACTAACAATATAATCTCAACATTTTTTAGGATTAAAAAAGACATATTCTACAGTTGCTTTGACAACAGGAGATGATGACTCATAGAGATCTGACAGTGTGCTTAATACATTTTTTCCTTTCTTTTTGGCTACTGGCGTGACTGTGTGCTCATTTTTTCTTGATATATATTTTTAAAAACCCACTTAAACCCTGTCCAAGGATAGGCCACCTGTAGAAGCAGTTCCAAACTACAGAATACAGTAAAGCAGTATGTCTGAAACTTAGTTCAGTTGAAACAGGCTAGATAACATAAATTTACCAAAACCTTTTCACAGAAGTATATGGCTAATTATGAATATCTCCAATTTAACTGTCAGTTTTTTGTACTGTAGTAGCTTGTGTGTTGTGATGCTGAAAGATGTGTCACTAGTATTTCAAATACCAGCAGGGTCAACCGTAGTGAACAGGCTCAGCAGAGTTCCCAGACTAAGAACATACTATGAAACAGTAGTCTATTCCATGGAATTAAACACGAATGGCAGAAGACCTGATGAGTGATGGAGGACATCAAGAATATCACACATGTGGAAAGTGAAAACTCAATAAAAAGACAGGAAAGAAAGGAAAGATCAAAGTGAATGTCAGAATAGACTGTACTTGCTCATGATCAAAAAGTAGCTCAGGCAGATGTAAGATATGATAATGCCAAAGAGAACAGACAGTTTCAGTGGGGCAACTCTAGAAGAAAAAGTAAAATATTATAATGAAATGTGCAAAGACCTAAAGTTATAAACCTAAAGTTATAAACCCAAAAAGGAACAAGAAGCTCTTCATATCTTAAACTGAAAGAGCTCATGAAAAAATTAAAGCAATATTGAAAGATTCTACAGGCAAAATATTGAATGGTGCCGGGAGTGTGAGAAGAAGGAATAAACGCACAGAGTCACTGGATCAAGAAGTCAGCAGTCCACCACGTCAAGAGGTAGCACTGAGCAAGAACAAATGGCATTGAAGGAAAAAGTCCAAGCTGACCTGAAAGCATTAACCAAAACCACAAACTGAGGAAGCACTGGAAGCCCTCACTCATCTGTGCCAGGAAATTTGGGAGACAACTACTTGTCTAACTTACTGGAAGAGATCCACATTTGTAACCATTCCAAAGAAGATGACCCAACAAAATGCTTAAATTATACAACATTATCATTAATATAACATGCAAATTAAATTTGCATAAAACCATCCAACAATGGTCCCTGCAGTACCCTTACAGGGAACTGCCTACGGTTCAGGCCAGATTCAGAAGAGGATGTAGAACAAAGGATATCAACCCTGATGTCAGATTGATCTTGGCTGGAAGCAGAGAATAGCAGAAACATGCTTACTTGTGTTTAATTGACTATGCAAAGGCATTCCACTGTGTAGATCATAACAAACTATGGATAGCTTTGCGAAGAATGGGGATTCCACAGCCCTTCAGTGTGCCCATGCAGAACCTGTACGTGGAACAAGATGCAGCTGTGCAAACAGAACAAGGGAATCCTGATTGGTTTAAAATCAGGAAAGGGGTGTCTCAGAGTTGTATCCTCTTAGTATACTTAGTCAATCTGTATGCTGAGCAAGTAGTCAGAGAAGAAGAATGCATATCAGGATTAGAGGAAATCCTAGTTACAGTTTCTAATTTGCAAATGTCACAAGCTTGTATGCTGAAAGTAAGGAGGAGTTGAAGAATTCCAGCCTTTATTATGAATTACAACTCAATGTAGAGAAAAGTAAAATCCTCACAACTGAATCATCATGATAAATGGAGAAAAAATGAAATTGTCCAAAATTTCAGCTTGCTTGTATCCACAATCATTGTTCATTGAAACAGCAGTGAAAGATCAAATGGCATATTGTTGAGTAGATCTGCTGCCCAAGACTCAAAACAAGAATGTTACTTTGAAGACTAAGGTGTACCTGACCCCAGCCATGGTATTTTCTATTAGATCACATGCATGTGTGTGGTTGGAAGGGGTGCCAGCCCCCCGCCACTAATCACCGGTTTGATAGGCACAATTGTATGGTTATTATATATAAAGATTATAGTAAAGTCATAGAGAGCATGAGAGATAAAAGAGAGGTTGAAATAATGGAGTCAGACATTTCATGGCAGCATGCTCACCTCCTCGATGGCCATGATCTTACCAGCCAGGTCTGCGCACAGCATGGGCAGAGGCAAGGTGAGGCAGGAACCCGGCAGGATGCTTGAGGACCCGGCAGGAGTCTGGAGAACCCCATTTATTGCTAACCAAGGGTTATATCTACTTACAAGGGCGTGATTACAGGTAACCACACATCACAGAAAGGGACAGTGCAATAGGCATACACATCATAGAAAGGGGATGAGCTAGGGGTGTAACCATGATAGGAAGAGGAGGAACTGGAGGTATACATGTGACAAGATGGGCGGACCCTAGTTTCATGAGGCCGGCCTAACCTTGGTCACCCTTGGGTAGACTTGACCTCTCTGGGGTCTCCTACAAGGAAACAGACAACTACTCTCCTTATCAGAAGGGAATGGGCCCTACTTGTGGGATAAACAGTGGTGACTGCTTGCTCTAGATGGCTGATAACCCTTAGGGAGAATAAACCCTGATCTACTTCTGATGACCTCCAAGTGTATAGTCATTCACAAGCAGCTAAGTTTGGCATATATTTGGGGGAGATAATGGGAGAAATCCTTCTGTTTCCCACACATGTGAAAGTCCGACATAGAAAAATGAAGACGAAAGAATTGATGCATTTGAATTGTGGTGCTGGTGAAGACTATTGAAAGTACCCTGGATGGCCAGAAGAAAAAACAGATGTCTTGGAAGAAGTGCAGCTAGAATGCTGCTTAAAAGCAAGGATGGCTTGCCTTGGTCTCATGTGTTTTGGACATGTTTTCAAGAGAGACCAGTCCCTGGAGAAGGACATGATGCTTAATAGAGTGGAGGGGCAGTGAAATAGAGGAAGGCCCTTAGTGAAATGGATTGACACATTGGCACCAACAATGGATTCATACATAAGAACAACTATGGGGAGGGTACAGAACTTGGGGCTATTTCTTTCTGTTTTTATAAGGTTGCTATTAGTCAGAACCTACTTGACAGCAACTAACAAAACAGACAATTATGGAAAAGTAGTTCTATAAGAGCTCCTGGGTGGCATAAATGGTTAGACAACCAAACAACGCCTACCCCAAAATCTAGTGATCTGCTTCTGAAATGGCACCGCCTTTTAAAAGCCTGTAGTACTAAGGCCTGCTGGGACATACTAGATAAACTGTACTTGGTAATTTACTCAACAGCATCTCCTATTTTTGGTTTATCTCATTAAATGTGGTAAAATGTATTGATAAATGAAGGGACTGTCCTTCCTGGCTCCAAACTTAATTCTCAATAAGTTTTTAAAACTTATTTAGAATTTTATTTTTGTTGGATTTTTATGGTATTTTTAAAAATCATTTTATTGTGGGCTCTTACAACTCTTATCACAATCCATGCATTCATCCATTGTGTGTCAAGCACATTTGTACATTTGTTACCCTCATCATTCTCGTTGTTTTCTCCTCCAGATTGTTTATCCTGCCTATCTTATCTAGATAGACCTGCAGAGATAATAATCTGCACAAAAAACCGAGATACAGCAAAACAAGGCAACAAAAGAAAACAAAACAACATTGACAAAAAAAGAGAAAAGCCTGTAATTTGTGGACCTTTAGGAGTGTTTTCCCCTCTAGTCTGATGGGGTGCCACTCCTTGGCCCCACAGTCTATTTTTGGTACTCCCTCAGGCCTTCCTTGCTTTGCTCCCCTGGCTGTTCCGCTGGTGGGGTCAGATCAGGCACAATTATCTATGGTATTCTTGTATCTCATAATTTTACTATGTTCATAGCATGCTATTTTGCATTTCAGGAATATACAATTGATGTTTTCTTTCGACAAAAGTGGAAAGATGAACGATTAAAGTTTAAAGGTCCCATGAACATTCTTCGACTTAACAATTTAATGGCTAGCAAAATATGGACTCCCGATACCTTCTTCCATAATGGGAAGAAATCAGTAGCTCATAATATGACAATGCCAAATAAGTTGCTGCGAATTCAGGATGATGGGACGCTCCTCTATACAATGAGGTATGTTTCTTCGTTTGAAATGATCCATTTAAATACTGAGGAATCTACGAATTAGTTATCCATTTATCTAGTTGTCAGGTATTAGTACAAGATTTTATAACAAAATTGAAGTACATAAATATGCTTTACTCGAAAAAGATGAAATATTATTTACCCTCTTCTTGATATGTTAAAACTTAAGAATTGTCTAATTATATGCTTAAAAAGATTTCTTGGTGACTTATTCACACTGTGTTTTTTCTTAGTAGAATTTTAAATGCTGTTATTTAAAATTTGTTTAAAGCAGCATGTAATTTTATTTTTAAAATTTCATCAGACCTCCATCAAAATTGTCGTTTTTTTAAGCGAGTTCTAACATAATGCAATGATGGTTTTATTTTGTTTATGAAGGTTCTCTAGATGAAAAATAATATGCAGATTTTTCAATTCATATAGGTAGTTATTACTGAATAGGATTTACAATTATATTGGATAACCTTAAAAATGTGCCCATGACTTTTTTATATTACATTGAAATAGGATACAAAATTGCTAGGTAAATTATGATTTTAATACATATTATTGTCCCTTGAGCTCAGAAATTATATTACAATATATAAATTCACCTAAATTTGAAGGAAAATTATGTATGCAAATATTAATTAGCTGTTATGAAAGCCCTTCCTTATAATTAATTCTGTTGCCAACAGTGACGTGCTTTATTTTGACTTGTTAACTCCCTAAACGCAAAGTGAAATTTTGCATTTTAGGCTGACAGTGCAAGCCGAGTGTCCCATGCACTTGGAGGATTTTCCAATGGATGCCCATTCGTGTCCTCTGAAGTTTGGCAGCTGTAAGTACTAAGAGGAAGGCACATGTTCTGGATGAATAATAACAGAAATCGTCATCAGCTCTGCTTGAATGTGTAGCTTCTTAATTTCTTCTCATATTGCAGAATACTTAATCCTTTTAATGTAAGATACAGAAGTAAAATACATGCCGAGTGCCCTCAAGGAACTAATTGGCTAGCCCTGTGATACTTCTCAAATATCATTATATTTTAATCATGTTTTTTAAATGATTGATCATTTTATTGTCAGTAAGGGCATCATGTATTTACCAGTGTAAAACTAGACCGTGAGTTTTTTTTTTAAGGTTCAGACAATATTATTTACCTGTTTTTAAAGTTGTAGCACATTACAAAGACATGAAGTGTTTTTTTTCCATCAAAGAAAAATGAGTTGTAAAGGAAACTGTTCTACTGTTTATTAAAATTGCAATCAGCCTGTTGAAAATTACAGGAAGAGCAGCAATTGTCCTACCACTTTCTAACAAGTGGATGGGGTTTCTTTTCATTGCCAAAAATAAATCTGAAGGAGATGATATAGCGAGAGAGCTACATGTGTTCCTTCTGAACACGTAGAACGTTTTCAGAAAAGACTGCTTTGGGCATTCTTTAGGTCACTGGTTATACCTTGTATGCCAACAGCAGCATTCACACTCCTGAAATAATTGAAAAAGAGGGAAGGTCAAGTCATCCCCTTGGCTCACAGGGCGTCCGGGTCAGTTCAGCATAAATTGTGGGCCAGCAAAGGCAGCTTCTCTTGTGCGAAGATGTCCCATCGCCTGATCTTTTAGAAATTGTTATTTCAGGCACACCCATCTTTGTCCAATCTGAATAGCTTTTGCCTTTTTATTCTTTGTGGAACAGAAATGCAAATCTGTCACCTTATAAACATGCACAACCAACTAAATGCATCTTATCCTCACATGCTGAATCGCTTAGAAAAAAATGGAAGAGTGGTGGATGATATGCCTGTAGAACCATCTAATTATTTTAGTGACCATGGTTTTGTGGAATTCAAAGTTCCATCTTGCTTGTTCTTACATTCTTTCAAAAGGTGCAAGTTCTCAATTTTCTTTGAGAATCTCTTTTCTATTTCCTTGCAGTGCTTTCCTTTATTGTCATGAAAACCATCACTGCAATACCAGCATCTGTCCCAAATTATTGAACATAGTCAATAGTGTCTAACGATGTAAATAATACAATAGTGTAAACACTATTCCCCAGAACTCATGGCAGATGCATTGAAGAAAGACTTGTTTGCATTATGTGAAGTGATATTAAAAGGAAAATTGGAAAGCTCTGATGCTAAACAAAAGATTTATTTAAGAAGAAGTAACAATCTAAGAAGGAAAGGCATTTTTCAATAGAGAAGATATTATTAAGACATCAAGTTTAAATGATGTCTCACTTCTGGAAATAAAAATAGATGCACCTGAGAGATGTTTAAATTGCATCTAAATATCTCTCAGGTGCACCTATTTTTATTTAAAATAACTTTTATGCTACATTTACAGACCAATGAAATATGGTATTCTTGAGAATTTAGCAATTAAGATTTGTCTGTATCTAGAAATGATATGAGTAACCAACAAAGTTTGTGGACACATCTTTTCTGCTTGTCATTATCTTTAATTTTACTTCCTCCAAGTTTATTTTTCTGTCACAGAATAAACTATTTGCATGTTTCATTTATTTCTCAATTTTCCCTGGTCATTATAGGTTCTGGATAAATTAAGTGTTACAACTATGGACTCCATTGTGAAGTAATTGTCCAAAACTGCTCATCAAATTTAACACTAGCACAGCAAAGTTCAGTATAAGCACCTATTACTTTTATTCTGCCATTTATTCTCCTCTTAAAATGGTTTCTTTGGCATATATACTCAAAATTAATAAATAGAATTTGTACAACTTTATATTCAAATAAAAGAATATTTTTTCTATATTTACCATTTGAATTCAGTTTTGTTTATTTTAATTTTTCTTATCTCCCACTTTAATTTTTCTTTATGGTTTAAGTTGATTTAAAACATTTAATAAGTTTGAGCACATCCATGCATTAGCTCAAACTGAATGTAAATTATCTTTTAGATTAAAATAATAATTATAAATTATTATGGGGTATTTTTGTTAGTTAAAAATAATAAGAATGAGTTTAATGCAACCTCAGAGTAAATATTGGTTTATTTATTAAATTTAATGTAGTTATTATAGAATTCATATTAAGGAGATCTATTTTGAAACAAACCACTATTTTATCCTTTTGTTCTATATCAAGAAGAATTTTAATGGCCTTTTGGTTTATACCTTTGGTAGCATATCAGGGGAATTCTCTAAACTGTGTTGAAGTATTTTCTATTACATCTTCAAGCACTATAGTTAAAACCTAAAATGAAATCAGATTCAAATCTAGTAATTAAATGTGGTAATGGCTTTTTAAAAAGACCCATGAAGGATCATTTTGAAAAATGTATCCTGGGTCTTGTCTCTTAACAGTAAATGGTAGAGTTGAAACATTATGAGTTTATTTATCCACCCAGAACATACTGCACACATGTTCTGTGTATCTAGCAATGCATTAGGAGGCTAGAGATATATACATGAATGGAGCAGAGTCCTGACCTCTCAATATCTCTTTAGTTTCTTAACCTGGCATAGCAATGGAATAACATTTGGGGGGTTTCATTTTCTTTTAGTCACATTTAAACATTGTAGTCAAATTGAAAAGCAGTGAAATCGTTCTAATTTCTAGGAAACAAAAAATTCATTATCTACTAGGAAATTTATACCTATTTAGTATCATGAGGGATTTCTGATATACAGTGATCCTTGTGACATGTTCTTCCGATCTATAAAAGTGTGTGCCATTTGGAATTTGATTAAAGAGAGGATATAGGAGGGCGTACCCCCCTAAAACAATGAAAAAACTCTGCTGGACAGAACTTTCACAGTGCACATTTTTCCTGCTGAGTATCCATCAACTTGCTCTGAGTTAGTGCACCCAGTGGCATCACCTGGGAAGGTTCTTTCTGGTCAAAGTGAATCTTTTCATAAAAGTAGTTTCACTTGAACCTGTTTGTTTTTTTGTGTGTGTGATGGCTGATTTTAGAGAACAGCGTGCAGCTGTGGGTTTTATTTTTTTTCTGTTCAGGAAAAATGCCTCAGAAACTTGTGATGTTGAACACAGTTTACAAGGATAGCGCTATGGGAAAACTCAAGTGTGAGATTGGTCTTCTCATTCCAAAGGAGGTGAAATGTTGATTGATCACAAACCTCATTCTGGACATCCATCAACTTCCTGAACAGACAAAAATATTGACATAATTCATACACTTATGCTCAAAAACCGAAAATGGACAATTGAAGAGATGAGGAAGTTATTGGCACTAACTTGGAGCTCCTTTCAGTGAATTTTAACTGAAGATTTGGGAATGAGAAGGATTCCTGCAATATTTGTGTCCCGGGTTCTGACAGTCCAGGAAAAAGAGCTTCTAGTGGAAACATGCTGTGCTTTGAAAGAACAGCTCCAAAGTTACCTAGACTTTTTCCCCAAGGTCATTACTGGTGATGAGATATGGTGCTATTCTTATGACCCCCAAAAGCAAACATCAATCAAGCCAGTGGAAAACGCCATCATCACCTCGCCCCCAAAAGCTAGTCAAGTGAAATCAAAGATCAAGATGATGTTCATTTATGTTTTTGATATGAGTGAAATAGTGCATTTGGAGTTCATTCTACCAAGTCAGACTGTTCCTCAAGCTTCCTACTTAGAGGTTTTGAGAAGATAGCACAACAGTGTGCGACAGAAAAGGCCTAATTTGTGGTGGAGGAGGGACCGGTTTTTCCACCATGACAATGCATCTTCTCAAGCAACCATCTCAATGTGCCAGTTTGTGGCAAAAAACAGCATGCCTCTCTTGCCATCTGCACCTGACTCACCTGACCTCACTCTGTGTGACTTCTTTTTGTTTCCGAGAATGAAGAGGGCTTTGAGAGGACAGTGATTTGAACTTAGAAGAGGTGAAGAAGAACATGAGGGCGGTGCTGTCAGCCATTCAAACAGATGAGTTTGACACATTGGAGACATTGACAAATATTTCTAAGAATGGAATTGCAGCTTTGACAAATGTATTAAGTGTAATGGAGAGTAATTTGAAGGGATAAAGTTGTTTGTTTGTGTTTAATAAAATATACAGCTTTGAAAAAAATTTTTGCCTTTTTTACTTGTTCACTCATGGGGTACATTGTTTCCAGTAATAGTAAACAAGCTGTGTGATGCTCTTCAGATGAATTAAATACTCACATTACAAATGCTATTCCTCTCAGTCTCGTGCCTGACTAACTGATTAGAGTTTTCAGAAAATGTTTTGAGCCTTAAAGCAACTAGATGTTTTCCTTATATATATAGATTTATGTATATATATATATAAATGTATTTGTGGACCCCATGTGTCTAGAGTACATCTGCAGTCCTCAGGGTTTTCAAGCTGTGACTATTTGCATCCACATTTTCAAAGCTTTCTTCTAAGGCATCTCTGGATGGCTTTGTGCTGTCACCCTTTTCGTGATTAGCCAAGTGATCCCCCACTTGTGCCACGCAGGCCCTCAAGTTATTTATAGATATAGGTTGTTATGTTGTTGTTAGATGTTATCAAGTCAGTTCCATTGTGAACACCCACATATACAAAAAAACGAAACACTTCATTGTCATTTTCATTTCTCACTTTTAAAAAAATCCCATTGATAGACTTTTATGTTTGAGTCCATTGATCAACCACTGTCAATTCATCCAATAAGGCTCTTCCTCTATTTCATTGGGCCTCTGCTTTATTAAATATGATGACCTTTTCTAAGGACTGAACCTTCCTTATAATATGTTCAAAGTGCATGCAATGAAATCTCACTCTCCTCACTTCTTGGGAGAATTCTAGTAGCACGTCCTCTAGACGAATTTGTTAGTTCTTCTGGCAATTGATGATCTATTCAGTACTCTTTAGCAGTACCATCACCCCAAGGCATCGGCACTTCTTTGGTCTTTGTTATTATTATACAGCTTCTTATGCATACGATAAAATTAAAAATGCTTGAGTCAGGTGCACTTTAGTCCTCAAAGAGACTTCTTTGCTTTTTAATACTTTAAGGAAGTCTTTGACAGCAGATTTACTCAATGTAATACCTTGTTTGATCTCTTTTTATATATAACTTTTATTGTGTATTAAATAGGGTCTATGTTTTAGGTCATCATTCTTGTATTCAACAATTTAAACAACTCATCAAACCTCCCATTACCTTACCCTATCCTCCTGCCTACCTTTGTCTTCTCTTCTCCTCTAGTAGAATATTGTTTTCCCCTTCACCTTAGTTAATACCTGTGGACCCTTTTGCCTATTGCTCCCCCTTCTCGTTCTTACCCTCTCATCCCTGGTAACCACCAGTCTTATTTCTTTTGTTAGGAAAAACCTTTGTCTTGGCTTTTACTTTTGTAACAACTGTCTCTTTAAATATTTGTCTTTTTGTGATTGGTAATTTCACTCAGCATAATGTCCACCAAATCTATCCACATTGTGTGTTGTTTCACATATTCATCATTATTCTTTAGCAATGCATAGTACTCCCTTGTATGTATTTTATTTTGTATGTACTGCTTACCCATTCTCCCACTGATGGGCACTTTGTTTGTTTCCATCTTCTCAATGTCATGAGTATTGTGACAATGGACAGCGTGTGCATATATGTGCTTTTACTACAGCTCTTATTTCTTTAGCGTGTATACTGAGTAAAAGTATTGCTGGGACATTTGGTATTTCTACTTCCAGTATTGCTTAAGGAAGCATCATATGGTTGTCCACAGTGAATGTATAGTTAACATTCCCACCAGCAACGTATGAGGGTTCCAATATCTCTGCACTCTGTTATTTTCTGTTTTGTTTTGTTTTTGCTTGTTAACTTTGTTATCAATTCCTGTGTGAAGTGGGATCTCATCATAGTTCTTCTTTGAATATTTTTTTATAATTGGTATATAGCTCACATATCAAACAGTTCAGTAGTTCAATCTTGTGCAATCATCATCACAGTTTTAGAGCATTCCCTTTTTTCTCATACATATTATTGCTAGTCCTTTATTTTCCCCAACCTTCACTGCCATGTCCCTAGGTAATCCAGTTACTGATTCCATAGATTTATCTATCCTGGATTTCATATACAGATGGGTATTTATTGAAGATCTAAGTAAAATGAAATCCTGTGTACCAATTTGAATATTTTGTCCATTTATCATACATGGCTTTGGTGGTCTAGTCGTGGGAATTTTTGTTTGTATTGGTTGAGGTATAGTGAATAGGTATAGGTAAATACATGTAAATGAAACAGTATTTCACTGATACTAGCATTTCAAAATGGTATTCACAAAACCAGTCAACATTACCATATGTCATTGAAGGGACCACACTGAGAATCAGACATGTATTCATAAATATTCATACTCTACTTCGTGATGCTTTAATGGGAATTGATATGTGATCACAGATTTTGTGTGAAGTTTAGTAGCAGAACTACCGTAGGGTAGAAAATAACATAAAACCAGTTTCAATTGATTGACTTTGACTCATGGCACCCTGTGTGTGTCAGTTTAGAATTGGATTCCACATGGTTTTCAGTGGCTGATTTTGGGGGAAGTAGATTGCCAGGCCTTCCAAGATGCCTCTCAAAGGGTACACTTGACCTTCCAAGCTTCAGGTTAGCAGCAGTGCACATTAACTGTTTGCACCACCCAGAGCTTAAACTAGAAAACTACATTACATTTCCGGTAGGCTGGAGAGCTGGAAGCAGAGATGTTGCCAGGGGTAACCACCTTTCTCTCCCTTGATTGAGACTGTGACTGTAGTGCTGAGGGTTGCTCAAGAGCTAGTAGGTCCAATATGTCAGAAAATTCCCATAAGCATGAATACATAAATGTTCTTCAAAAGGACAGCAGGAGAGCGAGGCATGTCTGTTTATTTAACTCTAGCTGACCCTGCCTGCGTACAGCCACAGGGCTGACACGGGTAAGGAAAATGCCAGGGTCAGGGAAAGGCTATGAAAATATGTTGCCTGCATGACAGCTAGAGAGATCTCACTTCTGCAAACATGTTCAAAGAAATAAGCAATTTGTATCTACTCTCTATGTGAGCTAATCTATAACTTAATTGGAATCCTTTGGAAGTCTGGTCCAATGAGAGCTATGTGCTTTAGTGCACTTTAAAATAATCAAGTATTTTAAAGAGTTTGCAACTTGATATACCTGTAACATTTTGATGTACTTTACATGCTCTGCAATAATTAGTTTTCATCCTCCAAATGAAATGCATTGTATCCTGATACCTAAAGTCATCCAATTCTTAACTCGATTGCTTTTGTTTCCAAAACGAGCATCGTGTGGGATTGTGACTGGTTTCATGACTGTTTACTATTTCTAAAATAAGCTCTTTAGCCAGACTTCAGACATCCATAACTAGTTGACTACAGTATCTTCATCTGCTATTTTAGGGTTATGAGAGACCTCTGGCATTCCATGGCCCCGTAGTTTTGCTGGCTGTAAGAGATGCTCTCGTCTCATCCCAAAATGGTTGCAATGAGTCTACTTTCATGTTCATTATTATATCTTTATTTGTCTGCTTCTTAATCTGTCATATTGAAGTTATAAATTCCAAGGATACATTTTTGCCTTAAAAAATGTCATCTATAAATATCAGCTTTTTTTGTAACCTATGATATTATTCAGTACACAAGCTTTGTTGTTTCATTCTTTTGATGGATCTTCCTAAAGTGCTTAAAATATATTGTTTGTTTTGATTTTCTGCAGATGCATATACAACCTCAGAAGTCACTTATATTTGGACGTACAATGCATCTGATTCAGTACAAGTTGCCCCTGATGGCTCAAGGTTAAATCAGTATGATCTGCTGGGCCAGTCAATTGGAAAGGAGACAATCAAATCAAGTACAGGTTAGTAAAATTAGAAAGAAAACCCCTTTCTATGAGAGTTTATGAATTAAGTCCTTCGTAATCTTCCAGAATGCCTAAAGTCTTCTCCTCTTATGATCCAGGGACCAGAAGTATAGATAGTATTTGGGGCTTCTTACAAATGAAAAATAATAGGTTCTACTCCTTACTGACCAGGAACTTCATTTTAATAGTATTCACAGGAGATTCTTAGGTATATGAAAACTTGAGACACACTGGATTAAAAAATTATTCAAGAAACGTGTGTTTCTCATGCATACTAGTTTTAACATTTACCTTCAAACATGTGTTACAGTTACTGGATTTTTAATTCTTTCCCCCACCCTGGATAATATATGATTATGCAACCCTTGATTTATGGATAATTACTACTGGCTTATGTGGGGAATCAGGTACACTCTCAAAGGGCCACCCTCATCTCAGAAAAGCAGCTGTGTAGACTAATTACCTTACATCTGACAATCATTAAACCTCATAGAGCAGAAAGGAAGCTACTTATGAAGATTGGATATAACTCATTGAAGTGAATTACAACCGACAGAAAACAATCCAGAATGGGTGAAGGGTTAGGGTGGAAAAGATGTATATGTGTACCAGAGCAATCTTTACCAGATTCAGTAAAAATATGAGCTGTAAATCCTAACTCCCATTCCAGTGAGTGTAAACCCACATGGACATGTCTTTCTTATGCGAATGATACCATATCCATATAGGGAGTGTCTTAAACCAATCACTTCTAAAATACAAAAGAGTAGATTAGGCACAGAAGTGAGTATAAATAGAGAAAGACTGGAGCCCTATGGAGATCACTAAGGAACCAAGGGAAAGAACCTTTCCCCAAGAGCCAACAGAGAGACTTGCTCTAGAACCAGAGACCTGAACTTGAGACTCTAGTCTCAGAAACCGTGAGGAGGAGCCCTGGTGGACTGCTAATGGCAAGGTCAGTGGTTGAAACCCCCAGGGACTGCTCAGGAGAACGAGGAGACTTTCTGGTTTCATAAAGAGCTGCGTTCTCAGAAAGCCACCAGGGTTGATTCTGCCCTCTTCTCTAGGGGCACTGTGCATCAGAATCAACACAGTGTTGGTGAGATTGAGTGAAACTGTGAGAAAATGATGTGCTATTCATTTAAGCCACCCACGCATGGTGTGTCTATAACAGGCCCCCTTGGGATCTACAAGGCCAGGCATTGATTCTTTGAGGAGCCAGGGAGGGATGAATTAGAATGGTCAGAGCAGAGAGTTGAGACTGGTGCCAGTGGGAATGACGTCATCCGTGTGGCTGAGAGCATTTATGAATTCTTGGACCCCTTGGTCAAGAAGCATGACCTCAAGAGAAAAATAAACACTGTGGGACATGCAATGTCCCATAGGACATGCAATGCAATGCATTTGGTAAGATTAAAATTCTCTTTAATGTCCTTGATTTGCTAATAAGACATTTAAAGGTGATATATTTTACATGTCCTATTTGAGATAAATTCTTTTTTTTAATTGAGCTGTTGTTTCTCTAATCCCTTCCATCTTTAAAATGTGCAGACTATTGACTGTTACAGTTTCTTAAGCTTCTTAACTTTTTCTTCCAGGTGAATATACTGTAATGACAGCTCATTTCCACTTGAAAAGAAAGATTGGGTACTTTGTGATTCAGACGTATCTGCCTTGCATCATGACTGTCATTCTCTCCCAAGTGTCATTCTGGCTTAATCGAGAATCTGTGCCTGCAAGAACTGTGTTTGGTGAGTGAAGAACTGCACACTTTGTTGCACAACACCTTATATTTCACAGTGTATTTTTAAAGACATTATTTCACTGGATCCTCATATCAGTGCTTGTAGAAGTCATGGTCTCAACTTAGAGGAACCTGAGACTCAGGCAGGTAAAACAGAGTCAATATAGTCAGTACCTCATTGCTAAAAGGATATAAAGTATACTCGAATCTTCTGGAAATAAATTAAATACTCTTTATGGTATGTTATGTATGCTCTGTCAGTATTTGTCTCTGTGGTTATGGAAGGAGGATTGTCCTGAAACGTTAAATTTAGAGTATCACAACACCATATTTCAAGGCTTTATAGGTTTGTGTTTATTTTGCTTTTGTTTTTAGATAAAGAAAGACGCTGTTAGTGCGTTAATTTAAAAGGAGTTTTCGGGGGTGGGGGGAGAGCTTTCTACCCTCCATTACTGTGTTCAATTAAATAGTTTATTTAACTAGTATTATGCATAGAAGTCCCATGATGGTGTTATATATATTCTAAGCTGGGCACATTTTATGAACAAGTAGATTACTTTGGTGTGTTTGGTCCACTCTTACTTAAGACCTTTTCATTGAGAACCTACTCTGTCTCATACTATGCCAGGTCCTGGAAATGAAAACACAGCACAACTAAAATCCCATTTCTGCACTAAATCATCTCTGGTTCATGGTGCACAGTAGAATAAGCAGGCATGGAAACAGAGAATAGAATCACAACATGGAAGCATGAAAATAAACCCATATGCAAGTTGTTACAGAAAACAAGAGGACTGATTCAGTAGTTAACATTTGAGCTAACTGTTACCAGATGAATAGGAGTTTCTCAGACAGATAAAATAGGGAAAGTATCACAGGCAAAAAGAATAGACTTTGCAGTGTCCCTGAGAAATGGAAGGACATGGTAAGTTCCGTGATGTCATTGTTAGTGGCGGTAGAGAGATACAATTTAAGGTCAATCTGAGAAGATGGGAAGAGCCATATGGGCCAGCTTTAACTTACCGGTGATAGTAAGCTACTCTAGTGGTTTTAAACTTTGTATATGTATATGTTCCTTATAATAATGCTGAGCATATAAGTCCTGTTTTACTGTTAGCTAGTCATCTTCCCATTAATTTCATCCTAATTCTACTTTAGAAAGCTCTGATAGCTTTGGGGAGGAAAATTTAAAAGAATAAATTGAAAGATGAAAATGCTAGAGACAGAGAGAAAAGTTCAGTGATTACTGCAATAGCCAAGGTCAGATCTATTGGGGGCATCACCAAGTGAGGCAGTAAAGCTCATCACCAAGAGAAGAAACAAATCCAGGTCAAATAATGCTTGGTATATAGAATCAATGAATGTAGTGAACAGATGCGTATACATTCTAAATAAAAAAGAAGAATCTAGAATAATATTTAGCTTTTTTCATAGGCACAAGTATCAGATTTATAGGTCCACTGTAACAAATCACCACAAACTTGGAGGCTGAACAGAATATCAATTTTCTCTCACAGTTCTGGGGGCCAGAAATCTGAAATCAAGCCTTAGCAGAATTGTGTCCCTGTGGAGGCACTGAGAGAGATCCTACCATCTGGTGACTGGTGGCAATTATATATATAGACATATAGATATATGTATATATATATAAACATATAGATATGTATATATAAACAGATAAATTGTAGGTGCTATTGATGAATATGACACAATAATTGATGTACATCATCAGCTGCTCAGTTACTGAACATGTAGCTATAAAACTTATCTTAAAGAAAAATTGATAGGTAAATAAGAGAACAGAACACATAATCTGCTTTAAAAATAACATTTCATGGTTTATAAGATAAAATGGTTAATAAGAACTATCAGACAATTAGAAAGAAACCAAGAGAATATACAAATATGCTTGACACATGGATTTATGTGTCATTGGTATTTATATATTTATTGGTATGTATGGATTGTGATGAGAGCTGTAAGAGCCCCCCAATAAAATGATTTTTAAGAAAAGAAAGAAAGAAAACCAAGAGAGAAAAAGGCCCTAAAGGGAAAACATCATCATTAAAACAAATAAATTTTTAAAAGAACATACATATGTGTATCTTTTGGATCTATGGTATCAAATAAACTCAGATTTAAGAAGTATTGAGTGAATTTTTAGCAGACACCAATAGCAAATCAGAATAGTTGCAATGGAATAACATCAGATAGGGACAGCAATGTTGTTCTTAAGTGCCGTCAAATCTGTTATGGCTCACAGTGACTGCACAGCAGGACAAAACGCTCCCCAGCCCTGTGCCGTCCTCACAATTGTTCTTATATTTGAACCCATCGCTACACCCACTGTGTCAATCCATCTTGTCCAGTGGCAAAAGGAAGGAATTGAGTACAGACGATACTTAGATGAAGAAGAAGAAGAGGAAAATTAAAGTGGCTGTACATGTAGCTGGGTTAAGTTGTTTTTAGGTGCAATCAAATCCATTCCCACTCATAAGGTCCGTGAGAACAACAGAATGAAGACTGCTCGATGTTGTGCTATTCTCAAAACCATTGCTTTGTTAGCGAACATTGTTGGATTATTGTGTCAATTCATCTCATTGAGGGTTTTCTTTTTTTTTTTCTCTGACCATTTACTTTGCCAAGCCTGGTGTCCTTCTCGAAGGACAGATCCTTCCTGATGGTATGTCCAGAGTGTATGAGGCAAAGGCGTGCCCTTCTTGCCGCTAAGGACCATTCTTCCTGAATTCTTCCACAATATTCCTGTTGCTTTTTGGTGCCATCGAGTCAGTTCTGACTCACAGCAACCCTCTACACAACAAAACGAAACTCTGCCCAGTCCTGTGCTATCCTCCCAATTGCTCCTTGCTTGAGGTTATTGTTGCTGCCACTATGGCAATAAATCTCTTATTATTATTTTTTTTTTGGCACTCGGTCTTGTCAAAGGTCTTCCTCTTTTTTTCTTGCCTTTCTACTTTACCAAGCCTGGGGTCCTTCTCCAAGGAATATGTTAGACAAAGTCTTTCTCCAAGGACTGGTATTGTAAGACGAAGTCTTGCCATCCTTGCCTCCAAGGAATACTCTGTATTTCTTCCATGACACACTTTTTTATCCTTTTGGCAATCCATGGTACTTTCAGTATATTTCATCAACACTGCAATTCAAATGAATCATTTCCTCTCTGCTCTTCCTTTTTCAATGTCCAACTTTCACATGCATATGTGGCAATTGAAAATACTGTGACCTGAGTCAGCGGCACCTTAGTCTTACAAAGTAACATCTTGCTACACAAAACCTTTTCCAATATAGATTTGTTTATTCTCATTGTCTATGATCTAAACAATATTTTTGTCAACAGCATAGTTCAGTTTCATCAATTCTTTTGCTTTCTTATTCATTATCCAGTTTTCCCATCAATAATGGGCATTGAAAGTACAGTGACTTGGATCATGCACACCTTAGTTCTCTTAATGACAGCTTTGCCTTTTGCCACTTTAAAATGACCGTTTGCATTAGATATGGCCAATGCAATCCACCCTTCGACCTTCTGATAGCTTCTTTCATGGGTATTGATTCTGGATCCAAATAAACATTAAATTCTTGCCAACTTCAATCTGTTCTCTGTTTATTAAAATTTTGCTCATTGGTCCAGTGTTGAGGATTTGTGTTTGGCTTATGTTGAGGTTTAATCCATATTGAAGTCTTTAATTTTCACGGTAGCCCTCTTCCCTTTCATCCAGTGTGATATGCCATCTGCATATTGAAGGTTGTCAATGGATGAGACTGCCTCCTGTCTGACTGCCTCATTCTTCGTCATCTAGTTCAATTTAGATGATTATCTCAGCATGCAGATTGAAGTGAGCCTTGATGGTGTGGTGTTTCAATAAATATAAAGTCAATGTTTCAAACTCATCAGTGTCTCTGCAATAGAAAAAGAAGACATTCTGTTTCCATAAAATTTTTACATCGTTGGGAATCTAAAGGGATAGTTCTCCTCTGCCCTGTAGGGCCACTTTGAGTCAGTATTGATTCAATGGCATTGAGTTTATTTTGACTTATAAATTGTACAAATGTAGTGAAAGGATACAACACTGATGCAAACGTTTCCTAATTTCAAATCATTCAGTATACCCTTGTACTGTTTGAACAATAATCTCTTGATCTATGTCCAAATCTCACATAAGCACAATTATGTATTCTTTATTGTGTTAGGTATAATTTAACCCACATCATGGGCATAATCAGTGAAAATAGGTGAAGGAAGAGATGGTCCACTTTTGAAAATGTTATGTATATATGAGTCATAGGAGAAAATTAATATTATCATTAGTATTATTAACATATAAGATTGAATTATAATCAGCGAAGTTCCTCTATGCTAAGCCACACATTGGCATATTGCATAATTATGCACATTGTTGCATAATTATTATTTATTATACCCTTTAAGGTAGACTATAACATCCTGATTTTAAAAATGAAAATGCTGAGACTGTATAATTTTAGGTATCTTGTTGGAAACTCTTGAAGCAGAATATGACAGCAAAACCCATGGTTCTTGGATTGTATAGTGTTCCCCTTGTGCTTTTGTTTTTAAAAAGAAATAGTTGAGAAAGAGGAGAAAGATTGAATATATTGAAGAGGGAGGAGTTTCTGATGTTAACAGTCCATAAATAAAATATTTAGGATTGGAATCGGTTAGAACAATAAGAATGAGAAACGCTATTTTTCCAAGTTAGGATGTTCAAACTAGGAGTTCAAGATCACTTCTGTTAGTGCTTGCTTCTTTCCAAATCTTCCCAAGTGTTTTCGGAACGCTTGCAAAATATTTTATCTTAAAAATATTTTACTACTTTCATTTATAGGACAAAATTGCTTAGAGACTATCCCACTAGTTATGAACATTAATTTAACTTTAGATGTTGTTATTGTTGTTAGGTGCCATCGGGTTAGTTCTGACCCATAACAACCCCATGCACAATAGCAGGGAGAAATGATTAAGTTCGC